TTAAAGGTCCCCTATACTGTTTTTCATCTATATATTATAGGTCTCAGATATATACAGAACATGTCTCTGAAGGGTTTGGCTCCAAATACCAAACAGATCATTGTTGCATTACCCATAATCCCCTCTGTTTCAGCCCTGTTTCCAAAGTGCTGATTCTCTGTCTGTTACTTTAGATGAAAATAACAAGCCCCTGCCCACGCCCCTCTGAGAGAGATTTGGTTACAAAGACACAATGGTGCTCTAGGAGGAGATTCAGGTGATAAGGTGGGGGGGGGGGGGGGGTTACCTTGGTTGCTGATTGGCTAATGGTTACACAAGACAAAACATCGTGATGACATCAGAAGAGGGGACACATGTTGATGTAGAAGAGACATGAAGAAGAGGGGACACATGTTGATGTAGAAGAGACATGAAGAAGAGGGGACACATGTTGATGTAGAAGAGACATGAAGAAGAGGGGACACATGTTGATGTAGAAGAGACATGAAGAAGAGGGGACACATGTTGATGTAGAAGAGACATGAAGAAGAGGGGACACATGTTGATGTAGAAGAGACATGAAGAAGAGGGGACACATGTTGATGTAGAAGAGACATGAAGAAGAGGGGACACATGTTGATGTAGAAGAGACATGAAGAAGAGGGGACACATGTTGATGTAGAAGAGACATGAAGAAGAGGGGACACAAGTTGATGTAGAAGAGACATGAAGAAGAGGGGACACATGTTGATGTAGAAGAGACATGAAGAAGAGGGGACACATGTTGATGTAGAAGAGACATGAAGAAGTGGATTTTGCTCAATAGGTGACCTTTCAAATGTATGACTTGCTACATCAAACCCCTCTTTGGCCTTTTTCAACTTTTTTTTAATCTGCGGAATTTGATATTATATTTGCGGATACGTTTTACTTGTACTTAACACCATCTGCCGTCATGTGAAATCTGCGAGTTCTAATGACTCAGCAGGTCGTCGGGCCAGGTGTAGGAAGTGTTTTACATCTGCGTCTGATCTACAGTCTGTTTAATGTGTTAACATATTTAAAGCAGTTTTTACAGAAGCTCAGATCGTGCTGCATTACTGATCACTCACAAAACACAAGCAGTGCGTAAAAACCTCCTTTCAAATGTACTTCGGCCCAAATATTACAAGATTGTACTCCAGCTAAGACCACGAAAGGTAAAGAATTAAGACTTTCTTACACAAGTAATCGGCCAAATAGCAGGAGTTGGCCGACAGAGGTAAATCTGTTTGCCCTTCATATTCAGAATAATCGTATTCCACTTGTCTGCCTTCCTCAAATTGACCCCTCACCTCTTGTTTTCTGCGTGTGGCCTCCTCCCGCCCACCCTCCGCTCTGAGTCTGAACTACTCCCACGCTGCTGTCTCCCAGCGAGTGGACAAACATGTTATTTCCAAAATCAGAAATCCATTTCAAAACTTCTTGCAAACACTTCCCACACAGACGAAAAGGTATTAAGGGCTCGACAGGAGCAAACTACTTTTTTTCCCTCCCGCAAATCAAGCCCGAAGGATAAAAGTACACTCTTTACTTTTGGGATCTCCGTCAGGCACCACTTTTCCTTTCTGCTTTACTGGAAATAGGCTGCTTAAATCAACACAATACATACACTGCTGTTTCCACTGATTGTGCAGAATGACATGCTGAACATGAGTCCGACCAAACATGCCATTGCAGCAAATTACCGGTGATTTTTGTTTGAGAAACTCCCTCTCCTCGGACTTCAAGCCTTCGCAGACCGTATACATGCACACACACCTTTCCAACACACCACAGGAAGCGGAAAACCCCAAAAGCATAATAGGGCCTCTTTAAAAAGTAACTTTCCGACACTTATAATGAGGTGTGCGGGGTATTCCTATAGCTGTTTTTGATTTGTTAGATGATCAAACAGCAGCACAGCTTTTGAAAAAAAACCGACCATCTGAAGACACATCACGAAGAGATAGATGTGTTTGAGGTTCCCTGGGCTTCTATTTTTGGCTCAGCCGTTGGTGTTTTTATTCTCTCTGTGCAGCAGCGAGATATTTTGATGTTGACGATGTATAGAAAAAGAGATGCAGTCACATCTGACAGACTGGTCATTTGTGAATAAATCAACGAGACAAACTGTGGGTGAAACCAATCAGCTGATTCCTGCTTCAGACATTTGTCATCCAGTAATACAATTGGAAGTTTCTAAAGGGAAACAAGTCAAACTGGAGATATTTAATCTATAGTTATAGTTATGTGCTACTCTTATAAGAAACACGACAGTTTTACCTGCTCTCGTCTCATGATTCCTCCTACCCACTCTTTTCTACTAATATCTTGTTTTTTTACTTTAAATCTGTGCACCTCCCGCATGTGCCTGATGTCTGAATCCATTATCACCTTTACACACCGACCAAAATAAACCCGTCTCTTTATTGCAAACAATTATCATCTGTCAGGTGTAATAATTACAATCTTCTGTTTATCACTGCAAAACGTCTGAATAGATTACAGCTTCAAATTGACGTTAAAGTTTAAATAACTTGTGAAAGAAACATGTTTTTTTGTAAACTTTAGATATATATTTGATTTGTATATCAACCGTATATTCCTAAACAGTAAGTTTTCATGTTTTGTCTCAAAGCAATATTGTGCACTAATATTTGGCCGCTTGGTTAAACCCACACATGATCAGTGCCGTAGTTTTCCTTTGAGATCAATTTCGCCGTGCACAGCGCTCAGGTTATTTCAACTTTAACCTCTGCTGCTGTCAACCTTTCTGAAGGGAAACCAATGAGATAAGAAGATATGTAGCCAGAAGCGACACGTGCAAGCAAGGGAGGTGGAGATTCATCAAAGACATAGTGTTTCAGAGTCCCCCGAATACATAACGCATCATTAAAAACATTTCATTTTCTTGCCTCATGGGACAACCAGGTTTTATAATAGGCATAGCTTAGTCTTCCAATGCTTCTTTGTGCATCTTTGATAACGTATAATATATATATATAGGGAGAAGTATTGTACTTCTATCGTTTACTTAAGTAAAAGTTGCAATACCACAGCGTATAAATACTCTGTTAAATGTAAAAGTCTTCGGTAAAACTCCAACAGTATTGGCCTCAAAATGAACTTAAAGTACCAAAATGATAAGCAATCGTTATGCAAAATGGCCCACTTCAGAATAGTGTTCATCAACCTGATGATTACAGTTCATCCCAAAGGGAACATGAATGTTACGGCAAACTTCCCAACAGTTGTTGGGATATGATTTCACGAAAGCGCAAATTCGAACAGCATAGAGGAAAAGTCAGGTGATCACAAAGATGAGGTGGATTCATCCTCTGGGGATCATGACTGTCTGTGCTAAACTACATGGTGAACCATCCAATAATCTTTTTAGATATTTAACATAAAAGCACACATTTTAACCTCATGGTGGTGCTAGAGTAAAATTCAGGTGATCACAAAAGTGAAGTAGATTCATCCTCTGGGGACCATGACTGTCTGTACTAAACCAAATGGCAATCTATACATAACTAGACCCTCCAGAAAAACACGGGTAAAAATCCTTGATTATGCGATTAACCATGCGGGGTTTTTATGTGATTTTATGCGGTGAAATTGCGGGAAGTTGCGAAATATGCGGAAAGTTTTGAAATATTGGGCTGTCTTATTTATTCTCTCTCACACACAACCTGCCACTAACGTTAAACCCCTTTACTATTCAATTAAACACATTCAATGTTTATTTATTGTAAAAGCAATGGGGCTATTTTAATCTCACACACACACACACACCCCCCCACACACACACACACACTTCTCCGCCTCATTCTGTTTTCATTTACTCGTTCGTTATCTGACCAGCTTCAATCTTGTAGGCTACTCACTTCGTTTCTTGTAGCCCTCGAAAGGGTTTTGGAGGTTGATGCCTCGCTGAACGATTTTCTCTTATGCTCCAACCAATATAAAGTCTATGGCTCCAACACACAGATGCACGGGGTGCAGAATAGTTTCCCCTCACTTTTTGCCCGGTCTTTAGTAGAAATGTTCGTCGGTAAATGAGATGGATTAGATTTTTTCATCTTGGTGTTTTCTCTATCGTGTGAGCTCCACACGTTCACTCTATACAGTGTTGTTTACATTCTGTGATGCGCGAGCTGATGACGTCACGTCAAGACGAGTTAACTTTTTTTCCCTCAACTTTTTGTGGAAAAATGCGGCGATTATGCGGCCTTTTGATAAATATATGGCCTTTTAAAAATCTGCGCCATTTTGCTGATTATGCGGTAAATTCTGCGATCGCAGAATCGCGTTTTTCTGGAGGGTCTACATAACAACTGTTGAGATATTTTACATGAAACACACATTTGAACCCTGGTGGAGATGGAGGAATAGTCAGAAGATTTCTGATATCAGTAAGATCCATCCTCTGGGGACCATGACTGACTATACTCAACTACATGACAATCCATTGAATAGTTGTTGAGATATTTTACATTTAAAGACACACATATGAACACCATAAATAATGGTGCTATTGAAGTCACATCATCATGGAAATCGGCTGGACTCATCCTCTGGGAACCATGACTAATTCCATGTAATAAACTTCACGGCAATCTATCCAATAGTTCTTGAGATATTCAAGTTAGATCACAGTTAGAGGACCAGGAGACTGACAGTACCATCCATAAAGCCAAGTCATTACAACAAAGAGTCTATTTATTTTAATAGAATTAAGCCCCGGACACACCAAGCCGATTTTGGCCGTCGATGGATGTCAGGCCGACGATGAGCGTCCTGTCGCCCTACTCAGATTGGTGTGTCCCGCCCCATCGGGTCTTTCTGTTTGTTTGTATCACGCAGTCTGTTCTTCTTCTCTCGGTGTATCACGCAGTCTGTCTTCCGGTTGTTGCCTCTTTTGAATGACGAATACACACTACCGCCGCCTGCTGGTAAGGAGAGTTATTGCCACTCATGCATGCGCAGTTCATACGTGCTACTTGGCCGTCGGCTGAAGTCTTTGCGGTGTGTTCCAGTGCAACATTCGGGTCCGGGACGTGTTCTTTGGTGTCAGCTTGGTGTGTCCCTACCTTAAAAGCACATACATGTTTATGATATTTAAACTCTGAAATCAGATTTTTTCTCTGTGTTTCTACACACATATTCCACATTGATGCCCTGAGGTCACAAACATAATTAAGATAGATACAAAACTGAGAGAAAAGGGTATAGAAAGTACATGTTTGGACTGATACATTATCACAAGACCACAATCTTCAGCAGAGGGTTAAATTCCCTTTTGTTCTCTCTGTAAGTCACACAGTGCAACATAAAGAGTGTTTCTCTCAATGTTATTTTTCTCACCAGGAAGCCGTATCGAAATAGCCATAGTGCTGAAACCCTCAGCAGAGCAGCAGGAGCTCCTATAACCTGATTGACTGACTGATCAATTACAGTCCTGCGTGTTTGAAATGACTGATATGGGGAAACTGATTGACAGTCGGCGGGTAAAAATAGACCGTGAAACCGTGATGGAGACTCAAACCGGAGCTGATGCTTTTCCCTGCGGAGTTTCAGTTTCCTGTGTTCGTCTCCCTTTGAACAGTTCAGGTTTATTCGGATTCTGCGCTTCACATCCGGATTGACAAAAGAGAATTAAAAGAGGCAAAACAAAATAGGGAGCTTATCAATTATTCATGAGCCTTTCCCCGTCCTCCTCCCCCTCCCTTTTGAAGGTGATTCCTTTTTATTTCTCACTTGGGACTTGTCTCTCTTCTTCTTCTTCTCCTCGTCTTTGGGCTCTTGAATTATCCCCTCCTCCCAAAACCTCCAGCATGTTAAGAGTCGATTTGAGCGATTTGTTTAGCCTGTGAGATGTTAGATTTGTCTCTTGTGACAGCGTCTCCGGGGATTTATAAAATAAGTACAGCAGGTATGTTCCCTGACAGCAGGGAGGAGGGATGACATAAAACACTCCTGATTTGTAAACCTTCTTCTCTCGTGTCTTTCTCACTTCCTCAGATCTCAAGGATCGGCCTGATTGTTCACAAAACCAAATCGCAGGATTTCCAGGTGCTGGCGGGCTCAGCAGGGTTCCTCATGGCCGCCTATTGTGTCGGTAAGAAGCTAAATGAGGACTAACGGAGCTGTTGATCCTCACAGGGAGGAGATGGTAGCCTTCCTCACTGTTTGTTTCCTTTTGATCTCTTTTGACTCTGTTGTCTTTGTATATCTTTCATTTCGAGTCTTGTGTTACATGAATCCACATAATTCACAAATATCTCGTATTATTCGATGTTCTGATGAATGCTCTTCCCCACGAAAAGTGCGCAGTCGCATGTTAACATCCACCTCTTTCTACCCATAAGCCCTTGGTGTCACTTCATGTAGTTGCACAGGCTAAATGTCCCAAACATGTCCTCTTTATTTTTTCGGGGTGACGTCCATCCATCCGTCCCATTCTCGCAATATTCTAGAAAAGTCAGGAAGAAATATCTTCAAATACGTCCCTAACATCCTCATAGGTCCAAGAAACACTGCTTTGATCTCAGGGGTCATTAGGTTCACTGCGACCTCACGAAAACACTCTTCTGGCCCATAACGCTACAATCAAAATACTGATTAGGACAATTTGCAAACTGCTGCTTCCAAATTGTTGGATGTGCCCTAGAGCTGCAAAAAGCATTTGATGAATGTCTAGATCGAGCCACAGAAAGACAATTGCCAACTATTTCATGAATCAGTTAAATGTGCAAAACCATTATGCAAAAAGTGTAGAAATGCCCCCCCCC